TGGAAGCACACGCCATTGATCCCAGCACTTGGGAGGCAGAGGCAGGCAGATCTGAGTTCAAGGCCAGCCTGGTCTACAGAGTGAGGACTTGTGCAAAACAATAACAAAACCCAAAGCGCACGTGGTTTGGGGCCTGGCTAAGGGGCTAGAGCAGGCTTGTAGCACTAGGTAGCCCACCTGACTCCTGTCATTTCCAGGAAAGTCTGTGGGAGTGGTGACCACCACGTCGGTGCAGCACGCCTCTCCAGCTGGCACCTACGCACACACGGTGAACCGTGATTGGTACTCGGATGCAGAAATGTCTGCCTCAGCGCTGCAGGAGGGCTGCAAGGACATCTCTCTACAGCTCATCTCCAACGTGGACATTGATGTGAGCTCCAGATATGGGGGAGTGGGGCTGGAGCAAGGTGTCACTCAAACTGCAGTCTAGGCAGCCCTCAGCCTGAGCTGTGAGTCCTGTAGGTCGGCAGAGGGGTTGGGTAGAGAAGATGCAGCCAAGAAAGTCCCTTCCCTCAGACCTGTAGGGACCGGGTGCTGTTGGGAAAGAATAGAGGATCACTTAGGTCCCAATTCACCTCTGATCATAGGTGATCCTCGGTGGTGGCCGCAAGTTCATGTTTCCCAAGGGAACACCAGACCAGGAATATCCAGACAACGCTGGCCAGGCTGGAACCAGGCTGGATGGACAGAACCTCGTTCAAGAGTGGCTGGCAAAGTATCAGGTATGGGGGGGGGCTAGGGCAAAGGTCACAGCAGGGATTGGTGAGGGTGTGCATCCGAAGGCATGTTCTTAATAGACTGGCTGTGTCTCTGCAGGGGGCCCGGTATGTTTGGAACCGCACAGAGCTCATTCAGGCGTCCCTGGACCCATCTGTGACACACCTCATGGGTAATAATTCCTATTTCTTGCCCTGGAACCCCTCCATTAGGAAATTGTGTATGTGTGTGCGTGGGTGGGGTGTGTCCTTAATCCCCTGTCTGGTGTTCACCATGGATTTTTTAATTCTTCAGGCCTCTTTGAGCCTGAACACATGAAATATGACATCTACCGAGACCCTACCCAGGACCCCTCCCTGGCGGAGATGACAGAGGTGGCCGTGCGCATGCTGAGCAGGAACCCCCGAGGCTTCTACCTCTTTGTGGAAGGTGAGTGGTTGAGCCTGGAGAAAAGAGGAGGAAGCAGGGTCCAGGGCAGACTCGAACATCTCCCCAACACTGGTTTCCTGCAGGGGGCCGCATCGACCATGGCCACCACGAAGTCATAGCCTATCGTGCACTGACTGAGACCATCATGTTCGACTCGGCCATTGCTAAGGCGGACCAGCTCACCAGTGAGCAGGACACGATGATCCTTGTCACTGCTGACCACTCCCACGTCTTCTCCTTTGGTGGCTACACACTTCGGGGGACCTCCATCTTCGGTAGGTGTGGTGGGGAGGGGGCAGATAGTGTTGCCTTGTAGGGATCTGGTGACCAGGCAAAAGGTGAAGGTGTGCCGAAGTCAGTCTGAAAAACAATCATCCCCTCTCCCTGCAGGGCTAGCTCCCTTCAAGGCTCAGGATGGCAGATCCTTTACCTCCATCCTATATGGCAACGGGCCCGGCTATCAACTCCAGAAAGGTGTCCGGCCAGATGTCACTGACAGGGAGAGCCGTAAGTCCTGTGGGTTGTCAGCATGGGGCACGGGCTGAGAGTACTCACAGAGGTGGAAGCCACTGCTCTGAACACCCCTTCTTTGCAGGTGACCCCACGTACCAGCAGCAGGTGGCTGTACCGCTGTCCTCGGAGACCCACGGCGGGGGGGACGTGGCGATATTCGCGCGTGGCCCGCAGGCACACCTGGTGCACGGAGTGCAGGAGCAGAACTACATCGCGCACGTCATGGCCTTTGCAGGCTGCCTGGAGCCCTACACCGACTGCGGCCTGGCGCCCCCTGCCGGCCAGAGCAGTGCGGCGAGCCGGGGCCAGACCTCTGCCCTGATGCTCCTGCTGGCAGGGACAATGTTGATGGTGGTGGCAGCTGAGCCCTGACCACCTAAGCTCACTGGACTCCACTCCAGCGCTCCACAGTGCTTTCTGCCAGTACTGTTTTCTGGGCTCCACCTGTCCCTCTGGTTTCGCTCCCCACTTCCATGTCTTGGAGTCTCATATCAAACTTGGGCTGTGGATTGCCAAGACCGCAGCCCCACCTTAGGCTCCAACAGACCACCTCACAGAGTGTTAATAAATCGGCCTCAGACCCGACAGCACTCCCCTTCCTTGAGTACTGAGACAAGACGAACTCCAGTGCTTACTGATCATGGTGAAACTATCAGCAGCCACCGCTCAGCCAGTGCCTTGAAGACCCAGTGTCTGCGTCACCAACACTGGACAGCCCCCATTGCCAGAGCAGTTGGCTTCTGTGAACCTTGGACAATGGGCCCAGCAAAGCTTTGGCACAGCCATCCTCTGATGCTTATTAGGCCATCCACCTTTATCCAGACTCCTTTAAGAGGCCGGGCACACGGAGAGCCTTGTCCCCTACCCCCGGCATCTACCTGGGTAGTGGCAGCACTTGGCTTCTTCCTCAATCTACTGGGCCTGCACTTGGCATTTTCCCTCCAGCTTTTGAGACAGGGTCTTGCCTAGTCTAGATTTCTGTCTCCCATCTTCTTACCTCAGCTTCCCAAATTCTGGGATTATAGATGTCTCTGCTGTGTCTGGCTAGCATAAAGATGTAGACCATCTCCCACCTTCCTGGGCCCTCCATTCTCCTCAGGACAATAAAACCGTTACACAAGGTCAGACTAGTGCTTGTTCACCTAAGGCCATTGAGAGGGTGGTCTCTGGGTGGGGGTGGGGGTGGGCGCACTACCACAGGTGACCTGGCCTTGCACTCGGGCCAGCCCTCACTCCCGCCCACTGCCCTGGGCTCAGATCGATGAACACCAGCGAGCACATTTTGTGTCAGTTCCAGAGAGACAGCAAGGTCCCTTGGGACCCCCAGATGCCACACTGGCTCATGTACTTGGCTGCCCAGTATTCACCGTAGTTTGCAGTCACAGAATGTAGAGTCTCTGTTGTGCCAATGCCTCCAGAGTCTGGGTTGGTTACACCTCAGGCCCCGGGGCTACTACTGCAGGAAGAGCAGAGGCAGGCTCTGAGCAACACTTCAGCCTGATGCAGCTCGGGAGCTGGGAGTGGGGAGAGTCAGGGCAGAGACTGTCCAGGGACTGGAGACTTCCGAGGCTTGGGCCCTCTCTGCTCCTTGTGGAGGAGGGGAGAGGTTCTGAGGAGCTACCATTTCTTGCAGCCATAATCAAGTCACCAGACCCCTTTCCTCACCCTGCACACACGCCAGGCTGCAGATTTGAGAGTTCCCTGGTTGAAAGCAGGAAAGCACAGGGCGGTCAGTCTGACACACAGTAGGTCTTCACTGACAGCCTGGTTCTTTTGGCTTTGCCTTTCAACTAAGGCCAGATAGGACAGAAACAGCGGCTGCTGGACGCTGGGAGGTGGTGGCACACGCCTATAATCCCAGCACTGGGAGGCAGAGGCAGGAGGATCTCTGAGTTCAAGGCCAGCCTGGTCTACAGAGTGAGTTTCGGGTCAGCCAGGGCTCACTTGAAAAAACCAAAACACAACAGTTTTGGAGAGTGGAGATGAAGCAAGGGCATCTGTGTGACCTTGCAGCCTGTCCTGTCTCCGTTTGGATTGAGATCCTCTTGATGGTGATAGTGAGACAGGTTCTCCTTTACCCCAGGCTAGGCCTGAACTTGCTAAGTAACTGTGGATAACCTTGAACTTTTCTGATCTTGCCTCTATGACCTGAATGTGAAATTACAGGCATGTGCTGCCGTGGCCACTCCACTGTGCTGAGGGATGAAACTCAGAGCGTTGCATGCCAGGCAAGCACTCTACCAGCTGAGACAAGCCCCCAGCCCTGGGGTTCTCTTTTCTTTTTTGTTTGTTTTGTTTTGTTTTTGTTTTTGAGGCAGGGTTTCTCTGTGTAGCTCTGCGCCTTTCCTGGATCTCACTCTGTAGCCCAGGTTGGCCTTGAACTCACAGAGATCCGCCTGCCTCTGCCTCCCAGGTGTTGGGATTAAAGGCGTGCAGACACCACTGCCCGGCTTCAGCCTGCTTTTTTATGGAAGCCAGGAACAAATATGTCCTACAGATTTGCCTGCAGCCCAATGTTATGGAAGCATTTCCTCAACTGAGGCTCCCTTCTCTCCCATGACCCTAGCTTGTGTCAAGTTGACATGAAACCAGCCAGCACAGCCACAGAAGTAATAAAACCTTAAAGCAAGTCCTGTGGACTTTGTTGTTGTTTCCCAATGCATATAAAAACTGTGCTTACAGTTTGGGTAAGTATATGATAACACTATGTCTAAATAACGTGTGTTCCCTAACTCAGAAGTGTGTTAACAGCCAGCAGGATGGCTCAGCAGGTCAGCCACCTGCCCCTAACCACAAGCCCTGCGCTCCATCCCTAGAACCCACATAGGAGAGGGGCCAACTCCTGAGAGTTGTCCTCCGACCTCCACACTCACACCGCCTTAGCCAAGTGCACATGCACGTGGGGAATGTAAGTAATAAATTAATGTAAAGGAAAGGATGCTACAGCTAAGAACTGTTGGTGAGGACAAGTATGCTGGCTGGTGTCTGTAACTGCAGCACCTGGGACCCAAAGGCAGCCTACACTCCAGTGAATTCCCGGACAGCCTGCGTTACGGAGCAAGACCATGTCTCAAGGGAAAAAAAAAATGATGAGCACCTCTGGCGTGGGACCAGACATCTGTGCAGGACTCAGGAGGCTGACACTGAGGTCAATATATGCTACAAGGAGAACTTGCCTCAAAGTGTCCAAGGCACCATCACAGCTTCATCATATTGTAACCTTTTCGCTGGCGTGGGAGATGTGGTCATATTTTGGTTTTCATGGCTGCTGTCTGGTGATGTCTAAAGGTTGGGTGGCTGTGGCAACTTCTTCAAATAGCTCAACAGTTAAGTTTCCTTTGTTCACTGACTCTTCCTTACACACACACACACACACACACACACACACACACGTGTGCCATGCTGCTTGGTGGCACTTCACCCACAGTAAAACTTCCTTCAAAATCAAGGGCTAAGAATATAGTACAGTTCATCTGTAGTGTGAGGCCCCAAGTTCAGTTCCCAGGACAAGTGTGGGGGGGGAGCATGGCTGACCGTGTAAGCTACCTGACACTTACCACAGGAACCCACAGTGAAAATCCCCAGGAAGACACTGGCAGCTTGATAGAGAATGTCCCAGCCTTCAGAATACTAGGTAAATACATTCCCATTTCTTGTAAGTTACGCAGCCTGGGATATTTTATTATAAAAAAAACCAGAATGATATAGGTCCCAGCCTCCAAATTCTAACCCAGACAAGCACCTGGGGAGGATGTATTGGCATTGCTTTCAGTTTGCCTGCTTGAAATACTGTTCTCATGGCTGACAGTAGAGGTCTCCCTGTTTTAGTAGTTCTAAGTAGACCCGCTGTGGTCAGCACTGTGGGGGATGGGATGGGGGGAGAAGTGACGGGGCCATGCCCCAGGCTTCAGAACGAAAAGGAAAGCCTTGGAATCACGGTGGGCCTGCAAGTCAGGTGCTGAACCAGCACTAAAATCATCCCAGGAGAGTGACCTGTCGTGATGGAGGCCTGAGAGGCAGGGCCTTGCTCTGGTCATCCCATCTCCACAAAGAAACAGGCACCCCCATTCACCTGGAATTCACAAAGCGAGTTCCAGGACTGCCAGGACTGTTAACACAGAGAAACCCTGTCTCAAAAAGCCAAAGAGAAAAAAGAAAAAGAAAGCAGGCTGAGCAAGCCGTAGGGAGCAAGCCAGTAAGCAGCACCCCTCCATGGCTTCTGCGTCAGTGCCTGACTCCAGGCCCCTGCCCTGCGTGAGTTCCTATCCTCACTGCTTTTGATGATTATGTGGAACTGTGAGTAAAATAAAATAAACCCTTTCCTCCCCAAGTTACTTTTTTTTCTTTTGCCATGGTGTTTTATCACAGCAATAGTAACCCTAACTAAGATGGTGGCGGTCTGCAACTACAACCTCCAAGGTGTGCCTTGCATTTAACAGACACACTATCATTCATCATTGCTGCATGGCTTGCTGCTTATGGAAATGCTATTTTTTTTTTCAAGACAGGTTTTCTCTGTGTAGCTCTGGCTATCATGGAACTCACTCTATAGACCAGACTGGCCTCGAACTCACAGAGATCTGCCTGCCTCTGCCTCCCCAGTGCTGGGATTAAAGGTGTGAGCCACCACTGCTCAGCTGGAAATACTGTTTTCATCCCTGTCCTATTGATGAATGCTGGGACTGCTTCCAATGTTTGCCTGTTTAAGAAGGTCACGTTGGCCAGGCTGGTACATAGAGCCTGGGTTACAAATGTGACAATTTTTCCTGTCATAGCACAGCTACCTACCAGCATGTGCATGCTTGGACCTTCCTGGGTGATGTTCCCTGGACTTCCTAGGTGATGCTCCCTGGACTTCCTGGGTGATGTTCCCTGGACTTCCTGGATGATGTTCCCTGCACTTCCTGGGTGATATTCCCTGGACTTCCTGAATGATGCTCCTGTCTCTAGTGCATGGAACTCACTACGCCTCTCAGGTGCTCCCCACAGGTGACCTGTAAGTCTTTGCAATATGAGGGTGTTTAATCTGTGTTGCTTGGACACCTCTCCACATACCCATTGGTCTCCTTTCAGTTTACTGTCTGAAGATCCCAGAAGGACGTAGGGATCTTCAGGAAAAAGCAGAAAAGAGGGTCATGGACAGGCAGTGAAACCAAGGCACCTGGGAAGAAGGGACAGAGGCCGTAGAGACTACAATGAATTGAGACAGCCAGCCAGGCTGCATTCACGGCTGCATGCATTCATGGCTGCATGCATTCACGGCTGCATGCATTCACGGCTGCATGCATTGGTATGTGGTGGCTAGCTGTGCACACCTCACCTGGGGGTCAATCAATTTCTGGCTCACCGTGAGCCTGGACAACAGGAGCTCCTCATCAGCATGAGTGTGTCTTCTTTGGACCTGGAACCGATAGGGGGGAGCAGAGTGTGGGCGCAGGGAACAAGCCATTTCCCCGAAAAATTACAGTGTTTTGTGACGCTGCAGGAGCTGAGACCCCCAGGCCTTGGGTGGGCAGGGACCTAGAGTGGTCAGGAATTCCAGAAGCCCCAACTCCCAGTACAGTGCCCCACGGTGTCCCTACCTGTGGGGACAGTGGAGAATGACTAGGGAAGGGCTGAAGGGTGGAGGGACGCTCTTCCCACCCCTCCCATGCTGGATGGACTGGAGTGGATGGGACTTCAGCTACTTCTTGGTTGGAGGGAAGGATTATAATTGTGTTCCTGAAGTTGGGACAATAAATGTCTGGAAAATCTTCTAGAATTTGAAAGTTGACCTCCACCCTAGATCCCTGTCTTCCCTACCCCCATAAAAAAAAAAACTAACAAGGACAAACACACTCTGTACCTTGTACCTAGCTCAGCATGAGGGGAGCAAGGAGGTGTCTGGGCTGGGTTGGGGCTGCAGGGAAGGACGGGCCCCAGGTCTTCTACTGTATGTCTGTTGGTGTCCCATCGGTCAAGTCCCTCCCTCCCTCCCTCCCTTGCCCCGGGAGCCTGTCCTAGTACAGTGCCTGGGCATCTGCAGGGTTTTCACCAGTCACCTGCTCAGCCTGCTGAGGACCAATGCTAAGGGGCAGAAGGCCCAGGAGCTAGATCCCGCAGCTGACTGACTGGCCAGTGAGCAGAGGGGCCGGGGGGGGGGGGGTATTGGTGGAGCTGGAGCAGGGCCAGTCTGCTCTCCACTCCAGATGCCCATGTCAGGTAGAGCAGACAGTGATCTGAGGCAGCTGTAGACACTGCAATGTGACCTAGACTTGGTGGCAGCAGAGGATATGGGAGGGCTTCCCCTGGGCTAGACCAGAACCCTGCATCTGGACTCGGGTGTGTTCTCCTTGCTTCTCTGATAGCTCCTCCTACTCTGTGACCTTTCTGAGAATGCTCACGTGGCCACCAGACCAGTTCTTCCAGAAGGACTTCTGAGGATGAGGAGGTGTTGCTAGCTGCGGAGCACCCACAGCAGGTGTCCCAGGTCATCCTCCTCACCCCAAAGGTGAGGCTGCAAATCCCCTACTTCTGCACCCCGACTCCTTGCCTCAGGGACCCTCCATTAGCATGAATCATCACGGGTCACATGCTGGTGCTCACTGCTGCCCCATGGGAGCCTGGGCAGGTTGGGGTCCTCCTCAACTGCCTTTGCCTCCTGGGATGGTGGGGTGGAGAGTCTGGATGCTTCTCAGGGTAGGTGTGACCACAGCTATCTGCCCTGACCACCTTGGGGACAGCCTATGGTCTCTGCCAATCTGGAATCTGAGTCCAGTCAAGGCCAACTCTGAGGTAGCCCCAGTGAGTGATTCTGGAGTGGAAACTGTACGGGCCATGACCCATTAGGGTCCTTCCTAGGCAGAGCCAGGAACATGCTCCTCTGTGTCACTGGGGCTTTGCATACTTTGCCTTAGGACACTACCTGCTCCTTAGATCCCTGCCCAGCCTCCATAGCTGGTTAAGGGGTGGAGCCTTAGGCAAGGACTGAACTGGTGTAGCTAAGCTGTTTGATCCTTGCAAATCTGAAGTTCACTGAAGTCGGGAGGTGGAACCTGAAAGCCGTGACTGTTCCATCACTTGTTCAGGGCCCCTTGTGTTGCTGTGAATCACTTTGTCAATGCCCCCAACTGTCTGCTCCTCTCCCTCACTCGGGTTTCTGGTTTCCATTTCTCTCTCCACCTCGACCGGAACACTCAGCTTTTCTTTCAAGAAAGCGCCGCTGCCCTCACGTTGTATAATAGTTCATTTTATTATTGCAAAATCTCCCGGGAGAATGAAGGCATCATTCTTTTCTTGGACATTAATGTGCAAGCCAGGCATAAAGGCACATGCGTGTAATTATAGCAGCTGGGAGGCTGAGGCAGGAGGATCATGAGTTTGAGGCCCAGTGGTGGTGGCAGCTGAGGACCGTCAGAGAGCAACTGGTGATCTCGGCCACATCAGCCTCTCCAGGATCTGCTGGCTGTGCTGTGGACACCAGGCCAAGAAAGGCCAACACATTCTTGTTCAGTCTCTGCCCTGGGGGGACATCAAGTGCCTACGTGGTCCTTCTCAGGCTCAGGCTGAGCTGTGACTTAGTGTGTGGTATCACATTTTCTGGGAGCTGAGATCGGCAGCAAACACCAGAGAGAGCTGGCCCAGGGGTGGCTGTGAGTGGCATTCCCCCAGTCTGCTGGGCATCCTGTTAGGTTGTGGTGGTCTGGGAGGGGAGTGCTGCAGGTTCTGAGGCGATTGTAACACTCAGTGAGATCTGTTGTTGGAGTTCATGATAGAATGGCAGGATTGGCAACCTGAGTTAGATCTGATTCCAAACCTGAAGCCAAGGTTCAGGGAACCCCAGGGAGCCCAGAGGGGAGCAACAGCGTGGTACACTGGAGCCGGCTGTGGGATACTAGGGTGGAGTCCAGTGAGCTTAGGTGGTCAGGGCTCAGCTGTCACCACCATCAACATTGTCCCTGCCAACAGGAGCATCAGGGCAGAGGTCTGGCCCCGGCTCGCCGCACTGCTCTGGCCGGCAGGGGGCGCCAGGCCGCAGTCGGTGTAGGGCTCCAGGCAGCCTGCAAAGGCCATGACGTGCGCGATGTAGTTCTGCTCCTGCACTCCGTGCACCAGGTGTGCCTGCGGGCCACGCGCGAATATCGTCACGTCCTCCCCGCCGTGGGTCTCCGAGGACAGCGGTACAGCCGCCTGCTGCCGGTACTTGGGGTCGCCTAGGGAAACAAAGTAGTCAGGGCAGAAGGCCTTGGACCCCATTCCCCTCTACCCTCGAGGGCAAGGGTGGTGGCCGCACAGGACTTACCGCTCTCCCTGTCAGTGACATCTGGCCGGACACCTTTCTGGAGTTGATAGCCGGGCCCGTTGCCATATAGGATGGAGGTAAAGGATCTGCCGTCCAGAGCGTTGAAGGCGGCCCCCAGGCCTGCGCAGACAGACATTTGCGAATGCCCTGGCTTGGAGTCCATGCGGCCCACAGCCCTCACCTTTGCCTGGCGACTGGCAGCCTATCTTCACCGACCCCCTGCCAGGCAGGTACTGTGTCTTTATACACATTTGAGGCCCAGAAAAATCTCTGCCTTGAGACTGATACATCTGCCTTGGCCCCGGCCTACCGAAGATGGAGGTCCCTCGAGGTACGTAGCCACCAAAGGAGAAGACGTGGGAGTGGTCAGCAGTGACGATGGTCAGCGTGTCCTGCTCACTGGTGAGCTGGTCCGCCTTATCAATGGCCGAGTCGAACATGACGGCCTCAGTCAGTGCACGGTAGGCTACGGAATCGTGGTGGCCATGGTCAATGCGGCCCCCTGCAGGAAACCAGTGTTGGGGAGATGTTCGAGTCTGCCCTGGACCCTGCTTCCTCCTCTTTTCTCCAGGCTCAACCACTCACCTTCCACAAACAGGTAGAAGCCTCGGGGGTTCCTGCTCAGCATGCGCACGGCCACCTCTGTCATCTCCTCCAGGGAGGGGTCCTGGGTAGGGTCTCGGTAGAAGTCATATTTCATGTGTTCAGGCTCAAAGAGGCCTAAGGGTCACAGAAACACATCCTCAGATGGGTAGAGGGGTCGAGATACACATACACAGGTGTTCAGTGAAGTCCTTCTGAGAAATGACATGGTAGGAGATGGACCATTACCCATGAGGTGAGTCACTGCGGGGTCCAGGGACGCCTGAATGAGCTCCGTGTGGTTCCAAACATACCGGGACCCCTGCAGGGACACAGCCAGTCTTAGCACACAGACCTGAGAAGCACAGCCCTACCCTGGTACGCCTGTCACCTGGTGCTTCATCAGCCACTTCTGTACCAGATCCTGTCCATCCAGCCTGCGTCCGGACTGAGCTCTGTTGTCTGGATATTCAGGGTCTGGTGTCCCCTTGGGAAACATGAACTTGCGGCCACCACCGAGGACCACCTATGACAGAAGGTCAGGAACAGGAAAATTGGGATTCCCTCTGCCTTCCCCCGACAGGCAGACCCCACCAGGTTTGTGGGAAGGGCTTCTGAGCTGCATTTCAACACCCTCCCCCTACCCATTCCTCAGATACCACAGAAGACTCACAGCTCAGGCTGAGGGCTGCCTAGACTGCAGTGAGTGACACCTTGCTCCAGCCCCACTCCCCCATATCTGGAGCTCACATCAATGTCCACGTTGGAGATGAGCTGTAGAGAGATGTCCTTGCAGCCCTCCTGCAGCGCTGAGGCAGACATTTCTGCATCCGAGTACCAATCACGGTTCACCGTGTGTGCGTAGGTGCCAGCTGGAGAGGCGTGCTGTACCGACGTGGTGGTCACCACTCCCACAGACTTTCCTGGAAATGACAGGAGTCAGGTGGGCTACCTAGTGCTACAAGCCTGCTCTAGCCCCTTAGCCAGGCCCCAAACCACGTGCGCTTTGGGTTTTGTTATTGTTTTGCACAAGTCCTCACTCTGTAGACCAGGCTGGCCTTGAACTCAGATCTGCCTGCCTCTGCCTCCCAAGTGCTGGGATCAATGGCGTGTGCTTCCATACCCAGCTCACCTGCTTTCTTTGCACGATGCATCACTGAGATGACCTCGTTGCCAAATGTGGTGTTGCACTGGTCGAATCGGGCAGCTGCGCTCAAGCCAATGGTCTTGTAGTTGGCCTTGACCCCACAGAGATAGGCGGTGGCTGTGCCTGCACTGTCTGGGACCTGTCTGTCCACGTTGTATGTCTGGGGACAGAGACACTCTCAGCTGTGTCCCTACTGGTAGACATCAGTCCTTGCTTCCTGAGACATGTTCACTGTGCTGGTTGCCAACTTGGACCCCAGATGTTCTGGGTTCTTCCTCCTCCAGCCATGCCCAGTCCCCCCACCCCCATCCCAGATGTGTCCCAGTACTCACCTTGGACAGAGCCATGTATGGGAAGCGGTCCATGGCTAGGGGTGTCTCAGGTCCTAGATGGCCTCCCATCTGTCCCTTTAGGATCCTGGTGGCTGTCACTGTGGTCACCCCCATCCCTGAAGGAGCAAAACCTGATCAGGGCTGAGCTCCCAGACCTTCCTGGACCTATCAGCTGCCTTGGGTACCTGGAGAGCAAGGGCCCCAAAGGAGGAAGGGCCCCAAAGGAACACTCACCGTCCCCCAGGAAGATGATGAGGTTCTTGGCTGATGTCTGAATGGGCTGCAGCTTCTTGGCAACCTCCAGGGCCTCGGCTGCCTTTTGGTTCCAGAAGGCTGGGTTCTTCTCTTCCACTGGCCAAGGGGGAGAGCAGAGGTAGGTGTCAGCCACAAGGCTGTGTTTGTGAGTGGGGACAAGCAGGTAGGGCGCATTCTTACCTGGGATGACACCAAAGGACAGCTGTAGCCTGAGGCCCAGCAGCAGCAGCAGCACCCAGGCTCTCTGCATGGCTGGGCCTGGTGGAGGGAAGGCAGTAGATGGGGAACTGGGACTAAAGGGTTCTTGATTGAAACGCGGTGTCCCTCCCTCATCCTCAGGCTCCACCCTGACCCCACCCCTGCTGCGCTGGAAAGGAAACCTTGCTGTCTGGAGAGAAGTGGCAGGGTGTGGCTGGCTAGGGTGGCCTGGGCCAGGGGTCCTGGCAGATGCCATGGTTGCCCTCCTCCTTAAGGGTGAGAGGCTGGGGACGGCTTCCCCTGGGTGAGGATCCTGTGTCCTGTGTTTGCTCGGCCACTCAGCTTTCTGCTCACCCATCCCTCTCGTTCCGGAGAGCCCGCTGGACTAGGATATGCTCTGGGCTGGGGCTGGAAACACAGAGCCTGGGTGCAGGGTCTGGATTTGGCCCTCAGACACCATGAGCCTCAGTGACATGGAAACAAGGCTCACAGAGTGGCCTCAATGTCATGCTCACAATCTGCTCACCTGACTTTGAGGGAGTAAGTCAGGTACCAAGGCATGTAGTCTCAGAATGGCTACTGCCTAGGTAAAGCAAGGCTAGCTGAGCACCGATGACTCAGGGCCTGCTTTGCATCTGCAGTAGTTATGCCAGGCTGGGAGAGCCTTGTCCTGGTGTTTGAGTATACATACATAAGGGTGATGCCCAGAGCATGCCAACTTGAGTGACCACACTGCCCTGAACCAAACCTGGGTCTTCCTGAGGAGCAGGCAGGGTTTACCCTTGATGTTGATCCTACTCTCGGGCAGCTGGAGGGATTCCAGGGTGAGTGTTCTGTACATACCTTGAGCACATCTGTAGGTGTAGCCTAGGATTAAAGAACTGGGAACTGCTGGGTGGTAGCAGCAGAAGCAGGTAGATCTGAGTTCAAGGTCAGCCTGGTCTACAGAGTGAATTCCTGGACAGCCAGGGCTACACAGAGAAACCCTGTCTTGAAAGAACAGACAAAACAAAACAGAAAGGAAGAAAGGAAGGAAGGAAGGGAGGGAGGGAGGGAGGGAGGGAGGGAGGGAGGGAGGAAGGAAGGAAGGAAGGAAGGAAGGAAGGAAGGGAAAAGTAAAGAAGGAGGGAGGGAGGAGGAAAGAGGAGGGCAGGCAGACAGACACTGGGAGCTTCCTGTAGCCTGAGGGTATGCTCAAAGTATTTCTCCAAGTATTTCTGTGATGCAGGGATCCCATCTCAGAGTCTAGTTTGAGCCTAGATCCTGTGTGCCAGAGATTCAGCATTATTCACAGTGGCCAAGAGATACTGGGACGAGCCACGTGCCCATGGGTGCATGAGTGGATCAGAGAATGTGGTCCATAGGCACAATGGAATATCGTTCAGCCTTATTAAACCGATAAATGATTAAAGGGACACCCCTTTAACCCCTAGCACTCTGTAGGCTGAAGCAGGAGGAGGGAGAGTTCGAGGTCCACTGTGAGACCCTGTCTAGTTGCTGTCCAGCCTGCTACCATTCGTCAGTACACTCAATACATCTGTTTTTGTTTTGTGCAAACGGAGAGTTTGAGGTCAGCCTGGATTACATGAGACCTTGTCTCAAAAACCAAACAAGACCGGGTGTTGCTGGGTACACCTTTAACTCTAACACTCTAGAGGCAGAGGCAGGCAGACCTCTTTGAGTATGAGGCCAGCCTGATCTACATAGTGCATTCCAGGCCAGCCAGGGCTACATAATGAGATCCATTCAAAAGAAAGGGAAGGAAAGGAAAACAAACAAAATCCCCCACACAACATGGTACTGTTTATTTTAGTTTTGGCCGTCCTCAGCATTGAACTTAGGGCCTTGAACATTCTGGGCAAGAGTTCTGCCAGAGCTGTATCACCAGCTCCCAAATAGTGCTATTGCTATACTCTGAATTACTAGTAGTATTAATTACTTGGTCCTTTTGAGACAGGGTCTCATGTAAAGCAGGCTGACCTTTAACCCCTGATCTTCCTGCCTCCATCTCCTAAGTGCTGAGATTGTAGGCACTTGTCCCCATCCCTGCCAGGTTTAGATGGTAAACTTTATGTCATGTGATTTTTAATATCACAATTTAATTTTTTTCAAAAGAAAAAAAAAAGCTGCCTTCATTTAAGTTCTGCCCATAGCAGCCCCACCCCACCCCGCCTGCTGCTGGCAGTCTCTGCACAGGGCTCCTTACTGCGTGAGTCACGGGTCTGACCTGGAACCCCAGGAGCTTCATTTGCTCCCCAGCATCCACCTGCCTCTCCTCAGGGTCCACCATGCCCGCATGCATCCTGGGAAGTGAAATTTTCTGAATAATCTGTGTCCATAGTAAAGATGCTGCCCAAGCCAGGCACAGAGCTGCTGCACGCGTGTCCACGGGGCGGGCCCCCTGCTCAGGAGACTGGGGAAAGGTCACTGATTAGCAATGGCCCAGGCAAGATAGTGAGACCCTGTCTCGAAAGAGGATGTTGGGGCTGGGCTGTAACTCAGGTGTAGAGTGCCTATCTAGCCTTCGCCAAGGCCTGGGGTCAATCCCCAGTACCGTATAAACTGCGTGTGGTGGTGCACGCCTATCATCTCAGGACGGGAAGTGGGGGCAGGAGAATAAAGAGTTCACGGTCATCCCCAGCTACATAGCCAGTTCAAGCCAGTCTGGAATACATGGAACAACCTAAACAACCCGACCTTGGCTGTGTGGAATATGGTGACTGTGGATAGATAGAATATTGTATGTGGAAAGCCAAGGAAGATCTCAGTCTATTTTAGGGTCTCTGATTTACCTTGAGTTTTTGTTTGATTTTTTTTTTTTTTTTTGAGACAGGGTTTCTCAAGCCGGGCAGTGGTGGTGCACACCTTTAATCCCAGCACTTAGGAGACAGAGGCAGGCGAATCTCCGTGAATTCGAGACCAGCCTGGTCTACTGATCAAGTTCTAGGAGAGCCTCCAAAGCTACACAGAGAACCCCTGTCTGGAAAAGGTTGCCTGCATGCTAACAGGCAGTAAGAGAACTCAGTGCTTTTCCTGTGCTGTGGGCTCCTAGCAAGGCAGATGAAGAGGCGAACAGGGTCTTCCCCAGCCAGAACCCCGCACCCTGGGACAGTGGGGTGCAGCATGTGCGGATCCCCTTTTCTCTTTTCTTCCTTCTTTAAATGTAGCAGAGTTGGAGTTTACTAAAAGACACTTTTAGTAGAAACTTTAAGCATGGGATTAGGAGAAGGATGTGGCTGGAGAGAAGGTGAGACAATGGAGAGGCTGAGTGTGGGATTCTCAAAGGAGATTTGCCTGGTTTTGTTGGTGAGTGGTAGTTGTGGGGTTTGTTTTGTTTTGTTTTCTGAGAGACAGGGTCTCAGGCAGCCCAGGCTAACCTCAAACTAGAATTTGCTATGTAGCCAAGGATGATCTGGAACTCCTGATCCACCTTTATCGACCTCCCAAATGCTGGGATTAGAGGTATGAGCTGCACATATGGCTCAAAGGCTTCTTTCAGTGGCCGAAGCAAGAGTTGATGTCAGGGAAGTGTCTAGAGCAGGAAGGTGTCCTGCTCAGTGGAAATTCCTTCCTAGAGAGTCACCAGTAGGCCAGACACCCCATTTTTCATGCCTCAGAAAGCCTCAACACCAAGGACAGGTCAAGGCATGTCTTTAGGTGCCTCTTCTGGGTGAGCTGGAGTCCATTCCATCAGAAAGAGTATTGACCTACTGCAGAGACTCCCTATGAAGCCACCAACTGTCATGGAGTCAGATACTCATTGACACCTCTGTTAAGACCCTAGTCCCCGAGAGTCCCCCAGAGTAGACTGGAGAAGCATTTTTCCCTTTATTGGAGTCCAGGGACCCTTATGTAGACAGATCTACAATAGGATTGTTGCTATAGACAACATTTTCAGCCTTTACAAAGTCATCATTATAAACATGGATTGAGCCAGATTAAAATAACACATGAACAAGTATAGCAATGTTCAGGAACCAGAGTAATAAACTAAAAGAGCACACAATTGTTGTGGAATATTAGTTGAAGATGTTACATTCGTTTATGCTGTGGAACATTTGTTTAATGATGCAAAGATGTTTTTGCATTCTTTTACGGTGCATTTGTTTAACTCTGTGAAGCTACGGCCAATAGCTAGGCAAGAGAGGGACAGGCATGGCCTCCAGGCAGACAGAATACCTAGAATAAGAAAAAGAGAAAATGGAGGAGAGAGAAGAGAAGAGGAGGACATCAGGTGCCAGCCACCCAGCTACACAGCCAGCCACAGAGTAAGAAGTAAGGAAAGGTATATAGAAAGGTAAAAGCCCAGAAGCAAAGGTTGACAGGATAATTTAAGTTAAGAAAAGCTGGCTAGAAATAAGTCAAGCTAAGGCCGGGCATTCCTAAGAAAGAATAAGTCTCGGTGTATTTATTTAGGAGCTGGGTGGTGGGTCCCTCAAAGAATAAAAAGTAAAAAAAATAAAAATAATAAAAATAAAAAACCCTCCATCAACACACTATAGTTAGATTAAATTATAACATGCTTAGATACTTAGGCCAGGGCTATTTCTTTTAATAATAGATCACCCATTTTCATCAAGAGAGAAGATCACTGAAAAGCCTCCAAACGGAGACTCGACTTCCTCAGCTTGACAAGAGTGTTGCCCAGTCAGAGACCAAATTAGCAACAGATCTTAAAGGGCACGGGTCAGATGCCAGCACTTGGGACCAAAAGAGTAGAGCTCCGCACACAAGGGAGGACAGCCCCAAGGCAGCCAGCAGGCCCAGGAGAATGTGGCCCATTGTAGTCCATTCACTCGTTTTGTGTGTGTGACCCCAAAAGAGAACAAAAGAGATATTAAAGCAGTCAGGAACTTTATTAGTCAGGGTTCTCCAGAGGAACAGAACTTACAGAATGAATCTCTCTCTCTCTCTCTCTCTCTCTCTCTCTCTCTCT